AACGACACTGTTGTCCAAAGGGAGAGGCTGTTTCTTTTTTCCTCTCTTTTGCTCTTGACATGATTTCATCGGGGAAGTCACCAATCGTTTCGGTGAGCTCGGACATACACACGCTCGTCTCTCGCCTTTGCAGATGGATATATTTAGCCACGGCTAATGGAGAGGAGGGGAAAAAGATGCACCGAGCTAGCGTGCATACGGCAAAATATAAATATCCGAGGCCTCAAACAGCACATAGAGGTGCAAGTTGTGCAAAGACGTGCCGGGTTCTGATGCGTCTGGTCCGATGGCTGCAAGTGATTATTTCACTTGCCTGAACAAAATAATCCATAACTGCCTCAACTGGAAAGCAGTGCACAAGACTTTTTTTTTTATATTCTCCCCCCGCTTCTTCTTAGCAGGGGGAGAAGGGAGAAAAAAAAAGCCAGGAGGAGTGCGAGGTGTCTGCTCCACACAATCGGCAGCCCGTATGGGAATGGCAGCGGCGGACAACCCCCCGCCACTATTGACGGTATAAACATGTAAATGAAACACATTACCACTGACAATCAATTGTCCGCGAGCGCCCTGCGAAACCTGCCCTCCTCCTCCCTTATTTTTTTTCTCTTCTTAACCCCAATCCACCCACCCACCCCCCCTCCCCCCCCCCTTCCTTAGGGACGGGGGAAAAAAAAAAAAAAAGAATTGCCCCTACCTTGTAGAGGGAAAAATCTGGGAAAAGAAGGAGGAGGGAGGAGAAAAAGAGGGAGGAGGAGGAGGAGGGTGAGAAAAGAAGGAGAGCACCTTGCCTACACATGACCCCCCCCCACCACCACCACCACCACCACAACCACCACCCCCCATTCTTTCCAGCGGGAGCTGCAAACTTTAAAAAGGCAGAGGAATAATAGGCATGGACAAATTGTTTAGATTGGCAGAAATCTGGCATTGTCTGGGTCTGAAAGAAAGCCCCCCCCCCCCATCCCCCCCCCCGCCCCCCCCGTCCCCCCCCCCTCCCACCCCCCCACCACCCCCCTGACTACACACACGATGCAAACACACCCTTTCTCTAATTCCCCCCCCCCCCCACCACCACCACCTTAATCTGCGATAGCCTCATGGCCACCATTCAGACGGTTGTATCAGAAACAGAGATGGAGACGGCCGTTCTGCATCTTCTCCCTCTGCTGCCTGCTCAGATTATGTAATCAGCATATTTGCGAGGGTATGTCCCAACACTGAGGAGTCATGTGTGTGTTTTTTTTGGGGGGGGGGCGTGAGAATAAAAAAAAAGGAACATCTGCATCCCCCTCTCTTGTCGTCCTCTCAAACAAAAGCTGCCACATATTTGATATTTGAATGTCTCTTTTTTCTTTAAATAAAAATTGTTAATGCTTCATATCTCAAAAGAAAAAAGAAACACAAATAGCTTCTTTTCTTTTTTTAAAAAGGGGGGGAAAAAAAAGGTGCCGCTTTGTTTTTATTGGGTAAGAGCAAAAATAAGGACAGGTGTGTGTTCCTGTTTGGTCCGCTCACAGCTGGATGTGACAAGCAACACCTGGCCAGGGGGCCGAACTCTGGAGCCCCCTTCACGCTGCTGAGATCAAGTTTCACACCGGCAGAGGAGAAAGGGGGGGGTGCTTTTCCCTTTTCCTTTTCCTTTTTTTTCTCTCCCCCTTTCGCGGCGGCGGCGGCGGCTCGGCAGATCTAACTCTCCGTCCGCGCTCCCGAGACCGAAAAACAGGGGCTGTGCGGGAGTCATGGACTGTGGTTAAATACCACATGACAGAGCGGGCAGCCAGTGAGTAAAGCCACTGTAGCACCTCCAACCCTGAAGGCCAACAGTCATCTGGAGGGAGAATGTCATCGGTCGGACAACTTTAGATAGCAAATGCCTCATTAATACTAATTGGAACAAATGCCAAAACCCATCCGTCCATCCATCCATTAAACAAAAAAAAAACAGAAAAGAAGGCCTAAACAATCCCGCTTTTTTTCCCATCTCCACGCCGGGTGTGTTAAAATCAAAAGCTAGATTTCCATGGGAAAAAAAAAATAGCCAACTCTGACCTCCTGCTATTTGCTTAAGACAGAGCAACTAAAGCAGATGGGAAACGCTTTTTTCCCCCATTCTCCTGATATTTGAACAGAAATAAAGACAGAAGGCACAGAAGTGATCATTTACATCAAAACACGCTGGCCTGCCGCCCCCCCCCACCCCCCCCCTCTCTAGTCTCCAAAAGGCATTTAGTGAAATGAGCTGTAATTGCACTTCTATCACATTTGTGTGGATTCATCCGATTTGTTGGTTATAGAGGAACCGACGCAGGCCCCGAGCACGCATCTGCCGAGGACAAAATAAATACATCGGATTCGAGCGGATCCCCTCGTCTGTGCGTCTGCGAGCAGGTTTTTTTTGGGGTGGAATCAGTCACACGCCTCGCCCTGCCATCCCTCCAGAGCCAGGCAGGAAGAGGACAGACACACAGGCAGGGAGAGGGGAGAGTGGCCAAGCCTCAATAAGCCTCTGCATTCCCAGAGGGGGGGAGGAATGGGGGGGGTGGGGAGGAGGAGGAGGAGGAAGAGGAGAGAAAGGGGGAGGGGGGGGGGGGGGGTCATCAGACAAGCTTGTCATGAAAGAAAGAAAGAAAAAAAAAAACAAGAATAAGCCTTTATTTTTCCTTTAGAGTGCTGTGTTGGTTTAAGGAGCCCACAGAAATGTAGGAGATAAAAATATTCTCTATACACACACCCCTGATGCCTCCTGTCAGATTTAAAGGTGTGAAAAAAATAAGATTTCGAAACATATTACTGGACGGTTTGGATGGAGGAAGCCCTTGCTCTGCTCCTCTCTGTTTCTCCCCACTCCTTTTAGAAAGAAAAAGAAAAACAGGTGGCCGAGGCTAAAACAGGTTGCCGTCTCTCTCTGAATGTGTCCCATTATTCTATATATTGTGCTGGAAAATCCAGCAGAGGCATTTCCACGCACAGATATGAAAGCTGCTGCTCTGCTCTGCTGCTATTTAGCGTGGAACAAAATGCTTGTCTGCTATTGATTGTGTGGAATCAATAAATGAAATCTGATCTAGATAAATAACCTGTGGGGGCAGAGATTAAAAAACGGTAGAGGGTGGGGGGGGGGGGGGGGGGGGGGGGGGGGTGGAGGGGGCAAATAAAAGCCTCGATGTTTAACACAAGCTCAAAAACACACACACACACGCTCAAACACACACACACACATAGAGTCCTTCACTTCGCCAGTGTTTGGAGCCTATATGGGATGATCAGGAATAACGGGGCCAGGAAATGTCAGTGCAGATTTGCCTCTTGTGGGAAAGAGTGCAGTCAAACGGAGAAAAAAAAAAAAGCAACAAATCCCCACCTCCAGCGCCCCAGTCCAGTCCAGACCCAATTAATGTCCGGCGTTTATCGGGACATGTCACTCTATTTACCTCCGGTGCCTCAAACACAGCAAACTTTGTGACAAAATGGGAATTAACGGGGAAAAAAACAACAACAAACAAACCAAAAAAACCCAAAGCGCACAGGTTTTCAAACTGAACCAAGTGCCACCCTCTTAAAGAATTATTTCAGCCAGGAAAGCAAACCCCAACGTGGGGGCTCAAACATATGAGCTCCACATGAGGAGATGGACACGCACGCACGTAGAACCACAGAAATAACTCAACTAAACTACACAAAGCGCGGGCCTCGATCCTTTGCAAAAGTCACAAGATTGTACACTTTTTTTTTTTTTTAAATTAAATAAATCTGTCCTTGCATCGAGCTGCTCCGGCCAGTGAGTGACCGTCACACAGTCCACCCCCACCACGACGGCTTCAGTCTCCACGAGAGAGCCTATAACTTTCAACTTCTCAGCTGGATAAAGGGACGTTTGCAACAAAAAAAAAAAAACTAAATCTTTTTCCCCGAATATTCGGAAGCTCTGGAGCGCAACAGGGGGACGCATTTGCGCGCACGCTCCCCGGGATAGCGGTGCCTTTATCCCTGCGTAAAAATAAAAAAAAAACAGGGGGGGGAAGGCGGCTATACGCGCAGCCAGCCGCGGACTCTCACACACCGCCACGGAAAAGCCTTTCGAAGCCCCCGGTCCCAACGATAAACCCCCCCCTTCCGTCCGCTTTTTTTGCGCGCGCCCTCCCCCGTGCTTTTTCTTACCGTTTTTCCGTCTCGGGTTGGCTTGTTTTCGCCGCTTACACCTGGGGCCATCCGCCATGATCTCTTGCTTCATTGATAAGTGTGTGTGGGGATCAGATGGCAGCTCGCATGGACTCGATTCCTTGATTTCAGCTTGATATCTGACGGGAAACACACACACGCACACACACACACACACACACACACACACACACACACACACAGAGAGACAGCAGCAACAGCGTTAGAGCGGCGGATCCACTTTCTCCGGGACGCAGAGGATAAAAAAACGGGACTTGGATCGAGGGGAAAGAGGAGCCGTGGGTGAAAGTATGAGACCGAGAGGGGATCCGTGTCCATCTAATTTTGATTTTCAGCTGATCGGCTCTCGGCTTTTTAACGGCAGGAGGAGGAAGGGGACATTTCTCTTATTAGCTATAAAGCACCATTCTTTTAAGGGGACGCAGCGAAAAATCGTTCCGCTCTTTTCATTCAGAAATAAAAGTTTCTCAATCCGCTTTATTTTTCTCCTCAATTAAGGAAATAAATTCGCACACATTTATCCGTCCGGCCAGATACGCTTACGTTTTTTTTTGTTTTTTTTGCGCTTTTTGTCCCGTTTTTTGGCACCGAAGGCAAAGCAGGTTAATAAATCAAATTCCAGTCAATTTTTCTTTTTTTTTTAGGGGCCAGAGCCGGAGCTCGTGTGGACGGCCAAAAAACGAGAATCAGCCCCAGCCCAGGAGTGAGCCTTTCGCTGTGTGGTCTGATTAAAAGTCAAGAGAACTTCAATAAACACTTTGGGTACGCCTGAGAAAATAGCACTTCTAGGTTTAATAAACTGAATCCGGGCTCTCTTGTAAACAGCTGATAAATAACAGATGCCGAATAATTGCTCAAATACGCTAAAAACGACTCCGGACCGAGAGGCAAATCTTTAAGGCACAAATGGCGCATAAAACAAAAAGCGATAAGACGCAAATCGCTCGGTGGCTTGGTCCACTTGCCTATTTATCGGCGCAAAACACACTATAAGTGGAATAAGTGAACCCAGACTGGAGGGTTTTTCCTCTCCGCGAGCGTCGGCCGCTTATTAGGATGAACAACGGGACCTGATAGTCCCAGTTGAAGGCACTCAGAGGCAGATCGGGATTTTTTTCCTCTCCGAACGACAGCGTTGTCGTGTGGACACAAAAGCCCGGATAAGGGCTCCTGTCCCCGGCTCCCCACAGCCCGGGAGGACGCCCCTACTCCACGGAGGAAGTTTTTTTTTTTTTTTTTGGTCTTTTTTTCTTCTCTAATAAAACTAGGGGGGGAAAAAAGGAGGACCGTTACAAACGCGCCGATCTCCACCTGTGCAGGTAAGATAAAAAAAAAAAAGTTGATCCAACTCAGACGCCGGCGCACGAAAGTTTGAAAATCCAATCATTCTCCGGGACCGAAAAGAAAAAAAAGCTGAAAATGAAAAGTAAAAAAAAAAAGAAAAAAGGCACATACCTGCTTTTTCAGGAGGTGCAAAGAGGGGCTCTCGCAGATAGGAGTTGTGAGGAGGGATGATACCGGAGCGCGTCGGTGAGCGGATCCTTTTCCACCGGTGATAATAAAGACTTAGAAATAAAGCCTCAGAAATAGTTGGGAGGAGGGAGGGACCGCTATTCCTGCTAGGGCAGGTTTACAACTGATGTCTTACACCCACTCCAGGAAACAAACCTGGGTAGGGACTGACGTGTTACGCCTCTTCTAATGACATTTTTTTTTCTTTCCACCTCCTTTTCTTTGCCGTGTAACACAGAGGAGAAGCCCCCTGAAACGCACGCCACCTATCTTCACGGGAGGGGATAATTGAGGAGAGCCAAACGTGAGCATCTTCTGGGTTGAAGTTTTTTTCCTCCCTCCCTCCCTCCCTCCCTCTCTCCTTCTCCTTTCTCGCCCCCTTTTCTCTTCCTCCTATTTTCTTTCCCTCACTCTCCTCTCCCTTTCGCCATCTCCTCTCTTTTTTGAGTGAAACCAACTATGTCGGGCTTCGACGCGGAGCAAAGAAAAAGGCGACAGTGTTTCTTTCCCTTTTTTTTTGTCTTGTTTTTTTCCTCCAAAATCTGTCTCTCCCCCCCCAAACCCCCCCACCCACCCATCCCTGGTCTTTCTCCTGTGAATGCGCGTAAACTGGAGGGGAGAAACTTCACCAGCGCTGCAATCATGTAAGGATTATTTTTCATGTTTTTTATATCTTTTTAGTTATATTTCCACTGCGTTTAATTTGCGGAAAAAGGCAGGATGCGCGAGCTAGGGGAGAGAGAGAGAGGGGTGGGGGGGGTTCTACATATTCTTCATTATTGTAATTGGCAGCGACTGCAAAAGGTTTGGGGACGTTCGGTTTCGATCCACGCTGCAAAAAGTGTCCGTGAGGACGGAGAACAGTGCTTAAAAAAAAAAAGAAAAGAAAAGAGGTCAGCCAAGTGTGGACTTGTTCAAAAAAACGAAACAAATAAACCAAAAGACGATCAACATTTTGTACTTTTTTTTAGGTTGGGGTGGTCTGAGCGTAAATCGATTCAGTTGTTCGCTTTATTCTTATTTGTTTTGCTCTCAGATGAGTGAGGGATCAGATCCGTTCGGGCTTCGGGAACATTTTTTCTGAGCGCGCTTGGCAAAAACGTGGCCCTGAATTTTGGGTGGAAGTCAGTTCGCGTTTTGAAGTTTCTTTTCTTTTTCTTTTTTCATTTTTCCCCACCTGTGATATTTACCTGCAAAGTGCACGTAAAAAGCAAAAACACTGGTTTGCTTTTGCTTATTGGGACTTATTGTCTTTTGAATAGACTCCAAAACTACATTCGCGTGAGGCAGATACGAGCCCACAAACAGCCGACACGCACAGATTTATTCTGACGTCTCTAAAGAGGGCAAAAAAAATAGAATTAAGTTTTAAAAAAAATAAGTGACCTCGGCCAAAACGCGTCTCCCCGTACAGGACGACCAGGGGCTATTCGGACGGTCATTTATTTTTTACTTCTGAAGAAATGTTTTTGTTTTTCTGGACGACGGTTAATAGGATGAAACGCGCACTTAGTGGCAGAAACGGACCGTCTCGGGCCGTGTCCGACTTGGAACAAACACACACGCTCGCGCGCAGAGCCAGAGAGGAAGCTCCACCTTTGCAGCGCCCTGATTGGTTATGTAAATAAAGTATTATTTTGTGTCCTGTCCCCCTCACAGTTCGCCGCTGTATGGCTAATTAAATCATCAATCAAGAGGCTGAACTGGCTGATAA